ACGAAAAGCACCCACTCGAAGGACACCAATTTGGAAATAATACAAGTACCGAATTAGGAGTAATGTGATAAGTGATGAGAAATAGAAGTTGGTTGGTAGACATTGTACAGTAGTATATAAACAGAATATATATAATAAAAATAGGTTTGGAAACCATCCGGTGATTTAGTAATTGGTCTGGTTGCAGGGTGGTTATTAAGGAGGTAAAATCTCATATAGCAGGTCGCACATAGATACTAAGTTAGTAACTAGGTGAGCCAATATCTCGTAATACATTAGAGTGTTATAATTGTACATGTAATATTTGTAACCAAAATACCTTAGTGTACTAATAAATGGTATTGACAAGACTGCCAAATTAAAAAAAAAAAAAAAATTACCAAGTTTAATATATATTAGTTAAATTAAAATGCCAAAACATACCTTTTAACTTCTGAATTACCTTGTAATTACCTGGTATGTTGTAGAGCCAAAGGTTAGTTTCTATAATTTTTTAGAGTTTATATTCATGGCTCTAAATTTATTAGAAAAACAGAGAGGATCCAGATTATTTCACTAACAATCACTTCATAGACACCACATTATTTATCAACAAGTTTATTTTACTGAATTTTATTTTATTAAGTTTTTTTTATAAATTATACTAACTTTAACTCTAATTCTAGCCTAACTCTGATAATATTAATCAAATAAATATCAGTAAAATGAACTTGTCGGTGAATAATTGTCAGTAAAATATGGTGTTTATAAAGTGATTGTTGGTGAAATAATCTGGATCTGAAAAATAAACAAGTCATAATAAAATGAATTAGCATGTAAACCTTTTGTAATTACCAAGATTAATATATATTAGTTAAATTAAAATGCCAAAACATATTTCTCATCTAACTTCTAAATTACCTTGTAATTATCTGAAATGTTGTAGAGTCAAAGATTAGTTTTTATAGTCTTTCAAAATTCATATTTGTGGCTTTGAATTCATTTGAAAAACAGAGAATTCGAATTATTTTGCTAATAATCACTCCATAAACACCACATTTTACTGACAATTATTTATCAACAAGTTTATTTCACCGAATCTTATTTCATCAAGCTTTTTTTTTTATAAATTATACTAACTTTAACTCTAATTTTAACCTGACCCTAATGATATTGATTAAATAAATGTCAGTGAATAATTGTTAGCAAAATATAGTATTTATAAAGTGATTGTTAGTAAATAATCTGAATTTGAAAAATAAACAAGTTATAATAAAATGAATTAGTGTGAAACCTTTTGAAATTACCAAGTTTAATACATATTAGTTAAATTAAAATGCTAAATATACCTCTTATATAGCTTCTGTAATTATCTGATAAGTTGTAGAGCCGAAGGTTAGTTTCTATAACCTTTCAGAGTTTATATTCGTGGCCCTGAATTCATTAGAAAGACAGAGAATCCGGATTATTTTACTGACAATTACTTTGTAAACACTACATTTTACTTACAATTATTTATCAACAAGTTCATTTCATCAAATCTTATTTTATTAAGTTTTTTTTATAAATTATACTAACTTTAACTCTAATTCTAGTCTAACTCTAATAATATTGATCAAATAAATATTGGTAAATAGTTGTCAGTAAAATGTGGTATCTATGAAGTAATTGTTGGTGAAATAATCCGAATTTGAAAAATAAATAAATTATAAAAAATAAATTAGTGTATAAACCTTTTGAAATTACTTATAATTACCAAGTTTAATATATATTATATCAGCAAAAAAAAATATACGTAAAACTCTGTAAGCTTTTACGCGAGCGTAAACTTACGAAAAACTTACAATTAGTTCGGAGTATTACGTAAGGATAATAATTACGAAAGTTTACGCTATAGAATTTTGGAGTATTACGTAGAAGTAATAATTACGAACATTTATGGCTTAGTAAATTTAAATGTAGCAAAATGCAAATAGTCGAAAACTAGTGAATACATGCGTAAAATTATGAATATTTACTAACAACAACAATTAAAAACATATGAAAACATGCGGAAATTTGCGGAAATTTGCATAATTCAGTAAGATATTACATACAACAAAATATCAAAAAAAGCAAAAATATAAATTATAAATCAAAAAAATAAATATAAAATTTTCAAAATTAATGTAATAATTTTAATGTTTTCGTAAATATACGAAAAAATTGTAATAGTTTAGTAGTTCCTATATTTATTTGAAAAATTGTATATAAATATATTTTAAGTAATTATATATTATCTAATTTTTTAAAGCAAATTAAAAATTCATATAACCAAAAGTCGAAGAAAATTGAAGGGAAAAGAAAATATATGAAAAAAGTCGAAGATTAATGGAAAAAGCCAAAAGAAACTACTTGTTAATTGACAACTAAAAAAATAAATAAAAAATGAAAAAATTAACATATATACACATAAACTAATAATTATTAAAGTATTTAAGAAAATTAAAAATATTTCGAAAAACTACAGAAGATTTAGAAGATAGGCAAAATAAGTAGTAAAAATAAAGATAAATCAAATTATTCATACAAAAATAATACATACTTTCTTTAATAAATAATGATGAAATCAATCAAACTCTAAAAAATAATATACAATAAATAAATTAATAAAAATTTATGGCATTGTACAAAAAAATTAATAATTCTTAGCTTTTTTCGAAAGTTGCAAAGTGATCTTTTTCTGAAAGTCGTAAAGTACTGCAATTTTCCACAATTTTTTGAATATAGCTATAAAGATATAGGATATAAAAAACAATTTGAGAAATTAAAAAAAATGCGAAACTTCAAAACGTTACGAAATAGTCAAGAAATAAACAAATTAGCTATAAAGAAAAACTTCTATACTTAAAAATAATATCTACTTTAATAAATTACGTATTAGGACCTAAAAACATAATAATAAGTATAATATATAAGAACTAAATAAAAGGTTTTAGTAAGTAAACAAACAAAAAAAAGTTTCAAATATCATAAAATATATTTTTTGAAGACAAAGACCTTCATATACTTTTAAAATATTTCAAAAACCTTTGTATATAAGAACTAAATAAAAAGCTTTAGTAAGTAAACAAACAAAAAAAAATTTCAAATATTATAAAATATATTTCATGGAGGCAAATACCTTCATATACTTTCAATATATTTCGAAAATCTTTGTATATTATAAACCAATAAAGTCTTAATAAACAACAAAAAAAGTTTCTAATATCTTCAAAAAAAATTTTTTTTTGGCTATAAAGTATACAAAGTCTTCTGTCAAAATAAATTATGTTTGAAAAGTTTTGTATAAAATTAACTAAATAAAAAAGTTTTAGAAAGATAAATATCAAAAATACTTCCAAATAATATAAGCAAAAACTACTAGTCATCAAACAACTTTCAAAAAAAAGCTAAGAATTATTAATTTTTTTGTAAAATATTATAAATTTTTATTAATTTATTTATTGTACAGTCATCCTCCCATACAATCACACAGTTGGGCATATAGTACCTTTTTTTAAAAAATGTGCTTATAGAGGAGTTGTGCTTATATGGAGGTTTTTTTCTTATAAATTAAATTATATTTTAGTCCAAATAAAAATGTGATTACATATGATGTGATTATATGGAAGATGACTATATGGAGGAACAACTGTATATTATTTTTAGAGTTTGATTGATTTCGTTATTATTTATTAAAGTATGTATATATATTTAATTTATCTTTATTTTTACTACTTATTTTGCAAATCTATTAAATTTTTTATAGTTTTTCAAAATATTTTTTAATTTTTTAAATACTTCAATAATTATTAATTTATGTGTATATATATGTTAATTTTTTTATTTATTTTTATTTATTTATTAGGTTTTGTCAATTAACAAGTAGTTTCTTTTGGCTTTTTGCATTAAACTTTAGCTTTTTTCATATATTTTTTTTTCTTTTAATATTCTTTAACTTGTTGATTATATGAGTTTTTAATTTGCTTCAAAAAAAAATTATATATTATGTAATTTAGAATATATTTGTATCAATTTTACAAACTACTAAACTATTACAACTTTTTCGTATATTTATGAAAACAATAAAATTATTATATTTTTAATAAATTAATTTTGAAATTTTATATTTTTTCGATTTATAATTTATATTTTGTTATACGTAATCTCTTATTAATTTATGTAAATTTATACAAATTTTTTAAGTTTACACATGATTTTGGTTTTGTTGTTCGTAAATATTTATATTTTTATACGTGTTTCTGCTAGTTTTCGGCTATTTATATTTCGCTATATTTAAATTTACTATGCTGTAAATATTCGTAATTATTACACCTACATAATATTCTGAAGTTACTATAGCATAAACTTTTGTAATTATTACACCTACGTAATACTCCAACTAATTGTAAATTTTTGTAAGTTTACGCTCGCGTAAAAACTTGAAAAGGTTTATGCCTATTTATTTTTGCTGATTGTGGTTGGGGTTCAAAGCTATTAGTTCTAATTTGATTTACAAGGTCAGGAAGATCAACTATTGATAAATTATTAGTAGAAGCTTTGGATGAAGAGGCGAAGAGGCCAGTTTTTCTTTTATTGGAGTCTTGAGAAGGTAGTATAGAATATTGTTCTTTAATCAAGTCAAGCTGATTATTAAATTGTTTGCTAAACTTAATTTTTTCAGCGGTAGAATGGAGTAAAGCTTTTGATTCAACTGAAGTATAGCTTTATTTGATCTTAGATAATATAATATGAGAAAGTTTATTAATAGAACTAAGCTTTAATCTTCCAATTGCCGAAACAACACTTTTTTTAAAGCTATTTTTGAGAGAGTCATAGTGACTATTTGTATTTGTATAAGATGCGATTATGTTTGAATCTATATCTTTTTTTCTATTAACAGAATTGTAAAGCTTCTTAAATAACATAAAGCTTTATTTTCCTATGTTATCATTAAATTTGTAAGAATTGGAGCAGTATATAGTAATAAGGGGAAAGTATTAAGGAGAACACATAGAATCAGAAGGCAAAGTGACAGGTATTGTTTGAGTAAGGCTAAGCTATGAAAAAAGATTAAGGTAAATTAATATAAGGAAGAAAATAAACAGGTAAAATAGGAAAATTTACATATTCAGCATTTTTTTGATAAATGTATTTTCCGATCATTAGTACGATTGAATTTTTTTTAAATTCAATTATTAATAAGTCAGTATTTCCCATGAAACCTTTGTAGATGAATTCTCTAAATTCATCATCTTCATCAGTGTAATAAAGGGTAGTTCCAGTTATAAATTTATCATTTCTACTGGTATTTTTAATAAAGCAAAAGGCAATGAAGATCGAAGATTTTTTTTTGTAAAGTGAAAAGTTAGAACAGTTAAAAGGTTATAGATAAGTTCGTTTATGGTTTAAATAAATAATTTTTTTATTAATTAGATAAAGATACAAAAAAAAATTGTAATTGATAGAAGGCATTTATTTTTAGATTATTACATAAGATATAAGAAATATTATCAATTGTTTTATTATTATTTTATTTTATTAATTTTAACTAGATGTTTTTATTATAGATAAGAAAGAGTCATACAATTATTATAAATAGAAGGAATTGGATTACGAGAAATCTATATAAGTATTTGGATTTAGAAAGATTCGGTTCATTAGTAATTTTTTTTATCATTTTGATAGATAAAGAAAGTCATATAAGAAGAAATAAGAGAAATGAGTTTTTAGTAAGTGATTTATTTGATAAAAGAGAGGCTTCATTAGATTTGGAGATTTTTAATTAATAAGATAATATGTTGGTTTAACGCCCAAATAAGTTTACTTTGTAAAATTTTTTCGAAAGGATTATATAATTTATTAGATAAGAATTTTTTTTCTGAAGATTTCAGGTTTATTTTATTAGTAGAAATTATTTATTAGATAGTATTGAGAATGATCGATTAAAGATAGTATATTAGATTTAGAGGAAAGTATAATAATGAAATAGAGTAATAAATCTCTATTGATAAGCGGAGATAGATGAGTAATGTGTGGCAGATCTAATCGCAAGACTGATTTTAGTATTTAGATTTATTTCATATTAACTGATTGGTTTAGTAAATAATAAGAAAACATTACAGAAAAAAAATGAGAAACAGGATATGTTTATAAGCAGTTTATTATTAGTTAAATGAATAAAATTAATTTTATATTTGGGAGGTTTTTTTTATTTAATATAATAAATTGATACAAAGGCAAATAAGAATTATTTACTGATAAGGAAGATAGGTGAGTTATACTGTATTGTTAGATATAATCATATGATTTATTATTATTGTAATTACAAGATTTGATCTGGAATAAAATTTTTTGATTCGAATAGCATTTGTAGATAGAGTGCAGGGAACAGGTACTATATTTGTATGATACATCATATGAAAGTAATGATATCTTAGAAATTTTTAAAAGAGAATATTATAGTAGGTAGTGTATGTAGTGTTACAAGGCTATGGAACTAATAATCGTATGATAATTTAGGATTTTAATTCGATACGTGAAGGTATCTCTTAGTTTGCCAAGCAAACGAATCGTGATTATGATTATATTCACAAATATGGAAAGGTTGTTGTTCGAAATTGGAGGTTGGCTAAATCGGAGTAAATTCGATGAATAAAATAAAGATTAATTTAGCATTAAGTTAATTCAATATTAGGGAAGAGGTTATTGAAGTTATATTAAAGAATCTTTATAGATGCTTCTTTATATTTTATCAATAAAATAAAGCGGGTTTAATTTGAAATTTTGTTTTGTTTTTGATATAGTTATTTTTATCAAGTTAGTCGGGGTAATTCTGAGTATTAAAAACTTTTACTATCTGAAAAAGCTGTTAATCATTCGGTTATCATCAAAAATTAATTAACTCCGCTTTAGGCTAGATCCAAAAATGGGAAATTATTAAATTAAAAAATAATTACTTAAAAAGAAATAATTAAATAAAGTTATGATTGATAGTGAGCGGATTGCTGAGTTTTAATTTAATATTGATGTTGTCGGATAATTTTCTAATACTGTTAAACATATATTTTTTGAAAATCATATTATTTATACAATAAGTAGAATGGTTTTTTTATTTAGATTGAAAAAAGATAAATTTTTTTTCTTAAGATACGCTGATACGTGTCTAATAGAGTAATTAAAAAACAGGATTAATTAATATATAGTGTATTAAATAGCGTAGGATAAAATTATATAGTAAATTTTAGATCAATTATTAAAAATAAAAAATAAAGAGCAGTCATTGAAAATTCGTATTGTTCTTAAAGAGTGTTCCGTGTTGTTTAGGCATAAATTATAATGTATAAAGGAAAAAAAATAAAAAAGTATAAGTTTATAAGTCTTATAATAAGGTGAAAATATATATATTTTTTTATCAGTTAAAATGATACATAAGTTAATTCATTCATTTATTTATTAATAAGCAAAAATGAAAAAATAAATGAACGTAAAACAACAGATCTTATTCATATTTTTATTTATATTCCATTTTTTAAATAAAATAAACAGGAAATGAAACCAGTGATAGGTAATCTTGTACTAGCTAATTCTGTAATAATCAGTGGCTAAGCAAAATTTTTTTCTTATAAATACGACAGTTCTTCGTAGTAGAGTGATAACGGATTGAACCTAGGTGCCGCACAAAATATGCGTGGCAGATCCTTGATTTTGATTGGCTAAAATAAATTAAGCCAGAAAATTACTCATAATTTTACTAATGAAATCGCAGCCGCCTATTAAGTGAAAATTGTTCCTGGGTCAATTTTACCATAAT